GCTACTAGGAAGAAAATTAACTCTATTCCAGCCAAAACAAGGACACTGGGGGAGCAGGCTCTTCTTTCTGAGGCTGGTTAAGCGGAAGACTTGGCTTCCGCTGCGTCTCAGGGTGGGATGGGGATTGGAGTGAAATTCCCAGCCCTGCTAGCGCCTCCATCTTCCCCAGAGGCTGACGCTGCTCTGCACCTGCTGCAGGATGCCTCGTTGGGCTCTCTGACTGTGTACGTGGTCCCTGAAACCTCCTCTCTCCTGCCTCAGGTAGGGAGCAGCACCCTGCGGTGCCAGCTTCTGCGTACTTCACCCCTCGAAGGTGCCCTGGGGGGAGGCATCGTCCCCAGGCTGTTGCAGGTGGCACCGCGCTGTTCTGCAGTGTGTTGGCAGGACCCAGCCCTGCTCCCGGCCCTCACCCCTGCCCCTTCCCCAGGGCATCAGCGTCTACGTGGGGAAGCACCGCAGCGCCCTGGTAAGGGCTGGGGGGGGCCTGGCCACCCTCCGCACCCGCATCCGGCAGCTCACGCAGGTGATGTCCTTCACGGCCAGCTCCATTGCCGCCGCCCTCTCAGACCGCGTGCCCGATGGCCAGCTCAGCCCTGACGCCCGGCGGCACTTGAAATCCAGCCTGGGTATGGACGTGTGCCCCAGCCCTGTTCCCTGACCTGGGGAAGGCCTGCTGGCTCTGGGGGAGATGCTGTTCCTGCTGTACCTGTAGCATCCCTGGATATATTCTGGGGTAACAGACCCTGGGGTCTTGCCTTTCCCCTTGGCAGTTGCTCTGGGTCAGGATCCGTGTTGTGATTGCTGTGTGTTGGGGCACTGGTGCACGACCCTGCATTGGGGAGGGCTGGGGAGGAGGGGATCAGGTCCTGCTGCTCTTGGGAGTTCTGTCACGGCCGCGTGCCCAGCCTTGGCATCACCAGGCGATGGCCGTGCCAGCGCCTCACAGGCTGTGGGTCCTCGGCAGGGTATGAGATCACCTTCAGCCTGCTAAACCCCGACCCCAAGTCCCACACCGTGGACTGGGACATTGAGGATGCTGTGAACCGGTACGTGCAGCCCGTCCTGGACAAACTGAGCTTGGTGGCCAACTTCTCTGTTGACTCGCAGGTGAGGGCTGGGAGGGGCAATGGGGAGAGCCCAGCCCTGGCCTTCCTGGGTGCCCCAGGACGCGCTTCTCTGCCAGCAACGTCTTTGTTGTGTGTCTGCAGATCCTGTACTACGCCGTCCTAGGAGTGACACCACGCTTTGACAAGGAGTCCTCCAGCTTCCTTCTGAGCGCCCACAGCCTCCCGCACGTCATTAACCCTGTGGAGGCCAGGCTGGGTGAGCACTGCGCTCCCGACTCAGCCGTCACAGGCTCTGCTGAGGGAGGGGGGACAGCTGTGCCTGTGGCCTGTGCCCCTTCCCTCCCCATGGCACCATGCCCTGCCAGCCCTGGATGGGAGCGAGGGTGACTGAGACCTTCCGGGCTGGCGGTTCTGCTCAGGGCTTGCTGTGGAAGGAGGAGTAGGGCTGGGCTCTGCCCCAGCGCTGCGCGCGGGCAGTCTGCTCTCACTGTCCCTGCCAGCTAGGGGTGTTCTTTTGACTTTGTCCTGCTCCAGGCTCCAGCGCTGCCTCACTCTACCCCGTCCTGAACTTCCTGCTGTACGTGCCGGAGCGCTCCCACTCCCCTCTGTACATCCAGGACAAGGATGGAACCCCAGTGAGCACCAACGCCTTCCACAGCCCCCGCTGGGGCGGCATCATGGTATGGGGCCGTGGGGGCACTGGCAGCGCTAGGGCAAGGCAGCGGCTCCCCATCCCCACCAGCCCCAGGGCTCCGGCTGCTCCTCGCTGATACACTCTCCTGCAGATTTACAACGTCGAAGCCCCTGCTTCCCCCCAAGCCTCCCTCCCGCTGCATGTGGACGTGGACATGGTGCGAGTGATGGAGGTTTTCCTGGCCCAGCTCCGGTGAGGATGCGCTCTTCCCTCCCTGGGCCTTTGTTGTGCTCTCCTGGCACACATGGAAATTGATGGGGTGAGAGCAGGCCCTACCCAGCTCATTCACTCCTCTGTGGGCTCTGGGAGGCTGAGAGTGGCTTTTTGTGGCCGGTGAGGCGCTGACCACCCACCAGCGCTGCCCTCTCGGC